TGAGCTCAGGCAATCCACCTGCCTCAACCTCCAAAGTGCTAGGATTACAGGCGTGAGCCACTGCACCCAGCCAAGGCAACTGATTTTTGTTCACTGGTCTTCATCCGTCCACCTTGCTAAATGTTATTATTTATCATAACAGGTCATAATAGGACATACAACAGCCATAATAATGGCCAGCAAACTATTTGGGATAGTCTGTGTTGACAATCATATTGGTTGTAAATTAACAATGATCTGGGTTCTTTCCTTCTTTTACTTTTCATGTCTTTCTGTGCTGGTTAGCATCTCCAGTATAATGATGGCCAGAAGAGATTTTCAAAGGGAGTGCTTCTTATATTTCACCATTAAATGCAATGTTTCCTGTAAGTCCTTGTTAGACACTCTTTATTAAGAAAGTTCAACTCTATTTCTACTTTTCTAAGTGTCTAACATGAGTACTCAATTACGTCTAATGTTTTTCCATCTCTAGTGAGATAATCATATTGTTTTTCTCCTTTATTCAATAAATAGAGTGAATGGCACTCTACATTTTCAAGTGGATTCCTGGGATAACTGTTTGGAAATGACGTCTTTTCTTTTTTACACTGTCCTGGCTTGTTAATATATTATTTAGGATTTTTACACCTATGTTCATAAATGAGACTGGCCTTTGATTTTCCTTACTTGCACCATCTTACTGAGGTTCTAGAATCAAGACTGGAGAGTTTCTATCTTTTCCTCTTCTTTGGAACAGTTTGTATAATATTTGAAATGGTCTATCCTTCAAAGTTTGGTAGAACCTCCATAAAATCATCTGGCCCCTTATTTTCTTTGTGAGAAGATTTTTAACTCCTAATTCAACTTATTTCATAGGGTTAGGACTACTCAAGCTTATTTCTTTTCAGTCAGCATTGCTAAGTTACATTTTTTCCTCAGAATCTGTCCATTTCTGTCTTTATTATAAATTGTCATAAAATTTAGCTTAATCTTACTATCTTTAATTGCTGTAAGACTTGTATTTATAACCCTCTTTTGTTCCTAATATTATTTGTACCTGCTTTCTTTTCTTTGGATCATTTTCCCCAAAGATGTGTCCATTTTCTTAGACTTTACAAAGGGCCAATTCTATCTTTATTGATCCTCTCTATTTTTTCTTTGTTTTCTATTTAATTGATTTCTGCTCTTATTTTTATGATCTTTTTTCCTTTCTTTGAATCTATTCTGTTACCCTTTTACTTCACGCAGTAGTTTTTAGTCTTACTAATTTTCTTTTACAGTCACAGAAGGCTGTAAATTTCCTTTTAAATTCTATTTGGCTGTCTCTTACAAAATTGACTGTAGCATTTTCATTATCATTCAGTTCAAAGTATTTTAAATTTCCATTATGATTTCTTTTTTGATCCAACCATTGAGAAGTATAATTTTAAATGTCCAAATACATGCCCATTTTTAAAAATTATGTTTTCACTATTAACTTCTAAATAAATTACACTAATGTCAGAACATTCGGTCCATATGATATTGATTCTCTGAAATTTAAAATATTTATAACTCATATCATAAACAATGGACTTCCCTAATAAAGAACTCTTATAAATCAAGAAGAAGAAAGACCAACAACCTAATTTTTTCAATAAGCAAAAGACAAAGAACAGTCAATACACAGAAACGCAAATTTAAGGGGCTCAAAAACATGAAAAGATGCCCAACTTTACCTGTAATAAAAGAAATACAGATTAAATGGTTCTTTTTTTTTTTAACCTATCAGATTGGCAAAGACTTTAAAAATTGACAACACCCCATGTTGGCGAGGGTTTCAGGAAACAAGGAGAGTTAAGTGTTGCTGGTGGGAGCGAACACTGGGAATGACTATGGAGAGTGATTCAGTAATCTCTACCAAAATTACCACCACAGATGCGCTTTTATTCTGCAAGTTCATTTCTAGGAATTTCTTTTACAAATACTCACGTGCAAAATAATCTTTGTAGAGGGGCATTCCTTATAGAACTACTTGTAATAGCAAAAGATTAAAAACAACCATCAATCAGGTACTAGTCAAATTGTTACAGCTATACAATGGACCACTAAGCAGCCATTTTTTAAAAAGGAATGAAAATACTTTTTATGTACCATGTGGGAAGATATCCCAAGATGTTAAGTAAAAAATTTATGGTAAAGAATGCTACCACTATTTAGGTAAAAAAACAAAAACAAAAACAGATTTTGTTATAAAATGCACACACACTCTCTCATGTTGTGTGAAACCACCTGTATGTGTACTACATACAAGGCTGCTCAAGAAACTGACAAAACTAATTACTTCTAAAGCAAGGAACTGACTGCCTAGGGAATAAGTGTAAGAGAGAGGCCGGGCGCAGTGGCTCACATCTGTAATCTCGGCACTTTGGGAGGCCGAGGCAGGCGGATCACGAGGTCAGGAGATCGAGACCATCCTTGCTAACACGGTGAAACTCCATCTCTATTAAAAATATTTTAGGCCGGGCGCGGTGGCTCAAGCCTGTAATCCCAGCACTTTGGGAGGCCGAGACAGGCGGATCACGAGGTCAGGAGATCGAGACCATCCTGGTTAACATGGTGAAACCCCGTCTCTACTAAAAAATACAAAAAACTAGCCGGGCGAGGTGGCGGGCGCCTGTAGTCCCAGCTACTCAGGAGGTTGAGGCAGGAGAATGGCGTGAACCCAGGAGGCAGAGCTTGCAGTGAGCCGAGATCGTGCCACTGAACTCCAGCCTGGGCAACAGATTGAGACTCCATCATTAAAAATAAATAAATAAATAAAAAAGATTAAGAGAGAGATTGTACCATATAGATTTTTAAAGTATGAAGAATCTGTTGAAAAGTTTTTAAAAACTTTTTTTTAATGAGCTTGACTAAATAAGATTACTTCTTCACGGAAATGCCTACCTGTCACTAGCAAGGAACATGGAAAATGAACACCGTTCTTGTATGGTGCTAGGGTTATTTTCTTTTAGTAAAAATAATTTCATTTTTGACCACAACAAAAGCCCACCTGGAAAATAAAAGTTCTTATGACTGGCATGACCTAAAAGCCTACCATTTTCAATTTCAAGTCTTCCAGTAGACTGCATAAATCCAATCCCATTATCTGCTACACACTGATACATCCCAGCATCTTCCACGGTAACCCCACTGATTTTCAGTCCATTTCCTGCAGTTAGATGTCGTGCGGAAGGATGAATAGGCTGTGCATTGTGAAACCAGGTACAGTTGGGGGCTGGGTTCCCACGAACGTCACAGGTAAAGTGTACTGTGGCACCCAGAGACACTGTCTGATCCTGTAGTCCTTTAGAAATGGAAGCATGTTCTGAAAATAAAACACACAAATTAAACTCTGCCCTCAAAATGGACTTCTTAAATTATCAAGTCATAAAAACCTTCTTTCTACCAATAACCAGTTGAAATAAAGTTGCATTGTTTATTCACATTCTTCTGTCTGCTGTGGTAATCAAGAAAAAAATTAGAAATGTTCCACTAACAGGATAAACCATATGTTACTAATAACATATCGTCTCGTTTCATAGATTACTCCACCCACTTAACTCCCCACAACATATGGGAATACACACATATACAGAAAGAGTTTCTAATCCTTGGCTTCTCTTAGCATTTATTTCAGGTGATTAGTTTGAAATACAGTAACAATTTCCCTGGATCTCACACTAAACAGGAGCCAAAACAGAAGAATGTTTATTCAGAGGTTAAATTATTTTTATGGTCAACTCAACTTTGAGGTTAGATGTATAATAGGCGAAAACAAAAAAATGAAACTTCCTTTAGGGATCCTTCAAGTCACTTATTACCCAGAAAAAGTAAATCATTTATCAGAATTTGTAGCATATGTCTAAATTATGCATATTAATCCAGTCCTAATCACTGAGTTCCAAAGCCCACTTGTCATACACTTACGTTAATTCCAGTGTCGCTAACCTATAGCAGGTTATGGTTATAAATATTATAAATACATGCAAAGGGTTTACAACAATTTTATTCATTATTAAACCACTTTCTACCTTTTTTTTTCATGAAAATCTGTTTCAATAAAGGAAAACATTTTCTGCAGCTACACATGATAGTGAGGTAGGTAGTTGCTTAGAAAGAAAGGAATAGCTTTGAAATAAAGTATAAATACAGAAATGTGGGTGGAAATAATTCAATTTTGTCACCCAGGCATTGATAAAGCATCCAAAAAAAGAAAATTAAATTAAATAGATTGATTTCTTTTTGAGATGACATTTTCTTTTTTGAGACAGGGTTTGGCTCTGTCGCCCAGAATAGAGCGCGATAGCGTGATCTCAGCTCACTGCAACCTCCGCCTCCCGGGTTCAAACCACCCTCCTACCTCAGCCTCCCAAGTAGCTGGTATTACAAGCCTGTGCTACCACACCCAGTTAAATTTTGTATTTTCGGTAGAGATGGGGTTTCGCCATGTTGCCCAAGCTGGTCTTGGACTCCTGGGCTCAAGTATTCTGACCTCCTCCCAAAGTGCTGGGGTTATAGGTGTGAGTTACCATGCCTGGCCTGACATTTTCTCATTAGTACTCTGTCTTTGTTACTACTACTGGATACTACACACAGATATCAGCTAGATTCTTCCATTCTCCTGATTTCCAGTTTTTTCCTCCATGTTATGAAGAAGAGAGAATCATCTCTATATTGCATAACTAGGTTGGGGGTGAGGTTCCCAAGAATATTCCATGTGAAATGCTCTATGCCACCCATAAAAATGGCCTAATTCAGCAGTCCATTATAAAAATGAAACTTGTTTTGGCTAGGGTGTAGATATTTCTAGATATTCCCTATTTCAATGTCACAAATGGATCTTTCCTTCAGATATCAGTTAGACCAGAAAAATGGCTTCATTTGAAAAAAATTAAAAACTAACATCTTACCAAGTACATTAACCATGTAAGTCACATATTTTACATCTCCAGACTTGTTTCCCACCATGCAGGAATAGTTTCCAGAGTCCGCTGGGTCAACGCTGTCTGTGGCAAGATGAGAATACAACCTTCTCCAGCTGCTTCCTGGTGCAATGTCCTGCCCGTCCTTTAGCCAATACACTTGAGGAGCCGGGACCCCACTCACCACACACTCCAAGGTTACGGGGCTACGAGAAAGAACAGCTAATGCCTGTGAATGGGTGGGGTGAAGAATGTGAAAATCATCTGAAGAAGGACCTGGAAAAGGACAGGAGACGAGAGATTATTAGTAAGTCTTTGTTTCTAATCTCTTGCTTAGCAAAGCTGTGGGTATCACTGTTTTCCCAAGTATTCTTTATACTACAAGGTCCTATTTGGCAGTTAAATCCTTTTTAGTTGAGAATTAAAAGATTTCTGTGGTCTTTTAGGGCTACTTCTGAATTGGCAGTTTGGAAATGCAGAATTCCCAACAAGTTCAGAAGCCACGGCTTTACTGTGCTCTAACTATTGGTGCTACCTCAACGCAACCGCCATAACCTAAAACTCAACGGTGATTTTCATCACATCTGAAAGAAAGAGGACAGACATATCTCTTTTTTTTTTTTTTTTCAAAATTCACAGACACCAATTTAATGACCACTACTATAAAGTTATATCTCCTCTATTTCTTCTTGTTTGAACAAAGGGCAAAATCCTCCACATGTATTCACTCTGTCACCTTAGCCCAAAATGCCTCTTCTGTAAGTTACATTTTTGAAGCATGTACAGTACTCTTCTATAATGCATTAATGTACTTTTTTTTTTTTTTTTTTTTTTTTAAGACAGAGTCTCACTCTGTCATCCAGGCTGGAGTGCAGTGGTGCAATCTCAGCTCACTGCAACCTCTGCCTCCCACGTTCAGGCGATTCTACTGCCTCGGCCTCCCGAGTAGCTTGAGATT